AAAGACATATAGTTGTATTATACAACATATAGATTAGTCAAAGGAGACATTACAAGAGAAATTACAAAATACCTTGGGATACATGAAAATGAAAACACAGCATATCAACTAATCCAAAAGGTGGTACTTTGAAAAGCTTAGTACAGTATGTACTCAATACTGAAAGGATAAATTTTTTTTCTGTAAGATCAGAAACAAGACAAGGGTACAGCTATTGTCATTTCTACTCATGTTGTACTTGGAGTTCTAGACAAAGTAAGCAATAAATAGAAATAAAATCCATTTAAATTTAAAAGGAATCAGTAAAACCGCCTTTATTAGCAGACAACATATAGCATGCAAAAAAGTTCAAAGCTTCCACCAAGAAACCATGGAACCTAATAAATGAAAGTAGCAATATTGCTTAATGCTTGCTTAACACATAACAATCAGTTGTATTTCTGTACACTGATGATGATAATCAAAAAATAAAATTCATGAAACGTTCTATTTAGAGTGTCATAGAAAAATTAAAAATAGTCAATGACTTGTAAGTCATACATTTTCCAAAGGCAGTAAAGACCTAAATAAATAAATGTAGAGTGTGTATTCATGAAATAAAAAGCTAAGTATCTTTTAAATGGCATGCTACCCAAACAGGTCATTAGATCAGTGCAATTCTTATCAAGAACATAGTTGGAAGACTCACATTTTGCAATTTCAAAAATTACCACAAAGCTACAGTACTCGAAACAGTGTGGTACTGCCATAAGGATAGACATATACAGTAGTTCTCCCTTAGCTGTCATTTCATTTTCTAAGGTTTCAGTTGTGCATGGCCAACTCTGGGCCTAAAACACTAAATAGAAATCCTGAAATAAGCAATTCATAAGTTTTAAATTGTACACTGTTCTGGGTAGTGTGAGGTAAAGACTGCCACATCTGCTTCAACATACTATCTGAAAAAGAAGTTAAGAAAATAATCCGTTACAAAAGCATCCAATATAATAAAATACTTAGAAATAAATTTAACCAAGGTGGTGAAAGATCTCTGCCTTATAGTTTTTTTTAATGTAGGTAGGTTTTTTTTTTTAACTTTAGTTAGAATAATTAACATGGGATCTACTCTGAACGAATTTTTAAGTGTACAATACAGCATTTTTGAACTACAGGCACAATGTTTATAGCAGATCTCTAAAACTTATTCATCTTTTATTGCCGAAATATTGTATCCATTTTAAAATGTGGTTAATTATATCAATGTCCTTGAAGAATTATCTTTGCTTTGCTATTCTGTCAATTTTTAACTTTCTTCTGTTTTTATTTTCAAAGTATATTTTTACTTTTAAATTGATTTTTCTTTTAGATCTGTCTTTAAAATATTGAGATAATGAGAATAACCAATATTTTCTCCCAAAGTGTGAGCCAGTTATCTCAGTATTGTTAGATATTTTATTCTTCAAGATTGAAAGTTCACCATTATCACATGCTAAATTCTCATTTATGTTTAATTTCTAATTTGTATTAAATTTTTATTTTAATGTTTTATTCATTTATAATATTTTATTTAAAATGTTTCCAACACATGTACTGCACTCTTCAAATCATAGACACACTTAACGTCACATAATCCCCACCCTCTCGGGATAATTTGTTGTTACTATCTTCCTGAGAAATCAAGTGTTTATATTTCCAGATGATGTTTCAGTTGATTTTCCAATTAAAAGAAAAATACCTATTGATTATTTAATTGCTATTACACTCTATTTATAAGTACTAATTTCTTCCTAAGTGAGAAAAATATCTCTGACATTTTCCCCTTGTCTATGGCTTTTAATTTTGTTTTTAAAATTGTATTAAATTAATGCCAGTTTTTAACCTTATATTTAATCACTTACAAAAAGATATCACTTATATTAAGCTGTTGGTTTGAATTCTGCACCAATGTGAAATTCACCCGCTGCATCCTTGACACTTTCACATTGAATTCTCTTTTCCTTACAGTAATTCTGACACATTCATTGGTACACTTGTTTTGTCAGCTCTTGCCTGGTATTATTTCTTCTTCTTTAATTTCAACCTTCCTGGTTCATATTGTTTCAGGGTGATTTCTGGCCCACAAAATATAAGTCAATTTAAAGTGTTTTTAAATTTTTTTATTATTACACTTTAAGTTCTGGGGTACAAGGGCATAACGTGCAGGTTTGTTACATAGGTATACATGTTGGCTGCATCCAGCCCCCCATCACCGACATTGGGTATTTCTCCTAATGTTATCCCTCCCCAATCCCACCACCCCCTGCTATTCCTCCCCTAGCCCCCAACTCCCCTACAGGCCCCAGTGTGTGATGTTCTCCTCCCTGGGTCCATGTGTTCTCATTGTTCAACACCTACTTATGAGTGAGAACATGTGGTGTTTGGTTTTCTGTTCTTGTGCCAGTTTGTTGAGAATGATTGTTTCCAGTTTCATCCATGTCCCTGGGAAGGACATGAACTCATCCTTTTTTATGGCTGCATAATATTCCATGGTGTATATGTGCCACATTTTCTTTATCCAGCCTATCATCAATGGGCATTTGGGTTGGTTCCAAGTCTTTGCTAGTGTAAACAGTGCTGCAACAAACATACGTGTGCATGTGTCTTTATAACAACGATTTATAATCCTTTGGGAGTAATGGGATTGCTGGGTCAAATGGTATTTCTATTTCTAGATCCTTGAGGAGTCACCACACCGTATTAAAGGCACTGGTGTGGGCCTGGTGGAATGGAGATCCAGTCCCGTTAAGGGAGAAGTGCAATGGCTAGTGGCCTCCACAGGAGGGCGCACTACATGGGCGGCTCTGGTCTCAAGACGTCAGCCTGCTGCAGCATCTTGGCTGAGAATGGGTAGGTGGAATGTGGGGAGCGCACCCCTTGTGCTTTCTGTTCAGAGCAATGTACCTACATGGATTTCTAGCAGCAGGATTTCAAGCCTCAGGGCTTGTGAGGACTGCAGCCTTCTCCGTAGAAGGATTTTAGGTGTTTGTGGTGCCAGTGAAGACTAGTGTCGTTCTTTTGCGTATCTTTTCCCCACAATAGGATGTTCATTCCTGACTCCAGACAGATCAGATCCAGGGGTGGAAGACAGGTCTGCAGAAGCTGGATGCATTCATGCTGCCCTCCTGGACTTCCAATCCCCACAGGTGCATCTCCACTCCCCTGCTGTATTTGAACTCTCTCTCTTCGACTCTCTGGTCAAGTTTTTAGTTTATTCATTGCTTTGGTCCTTTCTCGTGGGGAGGATGAGTGTCTGTCTTCTCTCGTCAGCCATCCTGGTGACACCACTGAGCTAAATTTCTTTAGCCTATTTTTTTGGAATTGCCTATCCCTTTATTAATTATTGGAGTCACTTTTATTTTTATTCTTAATTTTCATACTAAAGATGTGATTTGCACATCACGGTTATACTATTAGAGCATTCTGAATTTGTGTAATTACTTCTACTCATGAGTTCTATACTTTTGAATTATTTTTTTTACATATGAGTGCTCTTTCTTTCATCTTAGAACTTTCTGTAGCTTTTTTTGTAAGACAGGGGTCCCCATCTGCCCCCTCACCCAGCCCACATAGCAAGACGTGAGCAGAGGGTGAGTGAGCATTACCACCTGAGCTCCACCTCCTGTCAGATTCGTGATGGCATTAGATTCTCACAGCAGCGGGAACCCTAGTGTGAACTGTGCATGCAAGGGATCTAGGCTGCATGCTCCTTATGAGAATCTAATGCCCTCATGGCCCCCACTGACCTGCCACACCACCCCTCCCTCCTGGCCCCATCCATGGAAAAATTGTCTTCCATGAAACCAATCCCTGGTGCCAAAAAGGTTGGGGACCACTGTTGTAAGACACGTCTATTAGTGATGAAATTCTTCGTCTTTTGATTATCTAGGAAAGTATTTCTTCATTTCTGAAAGACAACTCTTCTGGATACAATATTCATGAATAACAGGGTTTTTTAAAAATTCACTTTGAATATCTCATGCCATTCTCCTGGCCTTTAAGATTCCTACTGAGAAGTTTGTATGCAGGTATACTGAAACCCCTTATATATTATTTGCTTCTTTTGTCTTGCAGCTTTCAGGATCCTTTCTTTGTCTTTGATCTTTTATAGCTTTATTATTATATGTGTGTCTGGTACTTTTTGGACTGATTCTGATTGGTGAACTTCCTGTACCTCGATGTATCAGAGACTTTCCCATGGCCTGTTGCAATACATTTCTCTGGTCTTTCTGTGAGATTGTTAGTCCCTAATCTACAAGAGCTGTCAATTCTGCAAATCCACAGCAGCCCACCCCTTCACTTGGTTTAAGGACTGTGCTCCTCCTATAGTATCCATTAAGATCTTGTACCAAAGATTGTTACAGCAACTCTATCACTTCAGCAAGCATGAGTAAAACAATGCTATCTGTGAATAGACAAACGAGAGGATGGTCTAAAAGAGTTTTTGGGGTTGGGAAGTCCTAAAAATGGGAACTTTGCTGTCTATACCATCTTCTTTCCCCTCTCCGAAGAAAGTTTCCAGGGAAGGATAAACCTCTAGAAGAAGAAGCCAGAATGGGGGAGTAGAAAACCTTTGGACTGGGGATAAGAGATCTGGATTTTAGTTCCAGCTCTGCCACAAGAACCTGTGCATCTTCAGCTAAATCTGTTTTCTCTCCAAGCTTAAGTTCCTCATCTGCACATAGAAAAGTTTGGTGTAGTAATTTTGACCATGCATGTTAGCCTAACATTCTGAGAGTTCATTTAAAAGAAGAAAGAAAAAGAAAGAAGGAAAGAGAAAAGAAAGGAGAGAAAGGAAAAAAAGAAGTGGAAAGAAAGAAGGAAGGAAGGAAAGAAGAAAGAAAGGAACAAAAGGGAGAAAGAAAGTGTGGGGGTCCGGCACATCAGCCGGGGGGCTTCTGACCAGTGGAGAGCCTCAGCCCCACTCAAGTGTTCTTAACCTGGAAGAGGGAGTGCGCGGAAGAAAAAATAGATAGAGAGCAGGGTCTGGAGGACTGCCAGGCAATGCCGGAGCAAGAAGTGCCAAGACAGCAAGTTTATTTGTGCAAACTACAGGTTATAGACCTTTCAGTGTTTAAGGAGTGATGTACATTCCATTGTATCTTGAAATAAAATAAAGAACATAAATCACAAGAAAAGGGGTACAGAAAGTATGACTCTTAATCATAGGGTGTACAGCAAAAGGACAATAAAGTTTGCAAAAAGGGGGTCATAAATCTAAACATGTGTTTTTCTAAAATCAGTTAAGCAAGCAAGTAAGATTGTTAACAAGGTATAGCTGGACCTTTCCAAATGTCATTCTAACCTTGCCTATTCATATAGGATCATATGCAAACAATATGATTGCGTTAGCAGAGGTAAACAAAGTCATAGAGTTATTGTGCAGAGAAGGAACTAGGAGGCACACAATGTCTAACCATACAATGTCTCATTAGACCACAAGGCCTGAGCTCAGCCATTCTGTTGCAAATGTCAGAGGCAAAGATGGATGTTTATAAAATCAGTGCAACCAGACTTCCTCCTTTCCCTTAGCTCAACAGCCTCCAGGAGAGGAGAAATGTGTATGGGCTCAAGCTCAAGATGGTGAGGGTCCTGTCAAGGGCCCTTCGCAGGAGCGATCCCCGCATTTCCTCCATTTTTAGATTTTAAATGCAACTCAAAAAGTTTAAGCTGCATCTTCTGGAGGGAGGAGAACACAAGGCGAAAGATGAAAGGTAGGCACACAATTAGTAAAAGAACACAGCCACTGACTGCAATGATTGAAGAAAATGATGGCAGGTGGAAGCCCTGGGTCCAAGACGACAGGGTGTTAATGATGTCACGAGCATCCTCAGGAAGCTCTCTGCGGGAAAAGTCAATAACATGAATTTCTTGTTGCAATTTAAGAATATCCAATGACATATTATTATGACTCCATATACCTTGCAAGTGAGCCTTAACTAAGGGCCATTTCCAATGAGTATCATTATAGGGAGTATTAGTAACACAAATATACTTAAAATCCACATGACAATGAAGAGTAAGATGATTTTGAATATTATACACCTTATCTCCAATTATGTTAACAGTTTCTTGTAAAGCATTAAGTTTAACCTCAATTTTCTTTTCAATGTCCTTTTGAGTTTCCATAGTAACTGAAATGTTTTTTGCCAAATGATTAACATAAGAAGCAGTTTGAACACTATGAGCAAGACTAACAGCCGCAGTGGCAGCAGTAGCCACAACAGAAACAATAGCTATAATACTAGCAATGAGAATACTAATAAATCGTTTGGGTCTTAACAGAAGTTTACGAACTTCATGAAAAATTTGTAAGGCCTTTTCATCATACCAATCACCAGAAATGTTAACAGGAAGCAAAACATAAGGAGGTTGATGAACAATCAATATTGTAGAAGTAGGAAACATAGAGGAGTCCATACAATTGGTGAGGGTACAATTAATGCAAGAAATTGAATAATGGCCATTGTTTTCAGAAAAAGAAACATTACCAAGTAAAATAGTGTAAGGGGATGTAACACAAGATTGAATGTATACATGACCTCTACCTGGATAGGCACGGCTACGAGAGCCAACAAAATAATAACTGGGGTACACAGACAAAAACAATTTCCAAAGAGAGGTGTAAATTGTGCCCTTATCAGTGGTAAAAATAGGAGTGCTCCACCCACCGGGCATTTCATAATGAGTTAGATCATCACTTAAAGGGTTAGGGGATGGACCAGTCATACAAAGTAAAACCAGAAGGCAGAGTATAATACAGAGCTTGTTTTTGATTAGGATAACAAAATCGCCATGGGGGAGAAGGATTAAAGGGAGTGTTGTCAGAGTGACAAGGTTGTGGTTCCATGAAAGGAAAATCAGGAGAACAAATGTTAGGAGATTCCCAAATACTAGGATAAAATACTGTCCAATCTCTTACAGAAACGGATTAACCAGGGACAAGAGTGGAAGGGTCATTGTATGTTTGTAATTGTTTAACTCCTAGAGGAAAACAAAAGTCTCCAGGAATAGGCAGAGGAGGGGAAGGTTGTAAAGAGACATAATCACTGTAAGAAAATTTATCATATATGAAAGAAGCATAAAAACACATAGGAGGAGCAGTGGCCTGAGCTGTATATGTGTAATTGGCAAGTTGAGGAGTAATATGAGAGGAAGAAGGAAAACCAAGTATAGAGGTGTCATTAATGTAAACAGGAAAAGCAGGATCATCCCAAGTAACAGGTCTTAAGACAGGTGGATCAGGAACATAAGCCCACAGCGTTTGGCGGGTAGAGGGGGGAGAATGAGAAACGGGAAAGGCGGTAGCCTGTTCACAAGCCAAAATAGCAATCATGGCAAGAAACAAGGTAGCAGGATTCCTAAATGTCCTTGATGCCGAACAAGATCAGGGGCTTTAGCACTAAGACGGCGAAGTTGATTCCAGGAAGGTTGAGACACATCACGGTATGACGAATTACGTCTGTTGTTCTGTCGGGACCGGCGTCTGTGACGAGGAGGAGTCGTCACGCGTAGTTGACAAAATCTCGGGATCAAGGAGTTTGGACTTTGTTTGTTGTTTATGTTCATGCTTTACAAGGCATTCAGGAACCAAATAGGTGAATCAGCAGACCTAGGAAAAACACAAACATGTCCTCGTCCCCATATGAGGACTGGATCTGGGCCATGCCACTGATTAGAAAGGGCGTCTTCCCAGATAACTTCGGGGCGAGCCTTATGATCAGGATGCCAAAAGCGATCAGCAGCAGAACAGTTGTTGTCATCCAAAGTGAGAAAGTTTAGTACATAGAGTGCATGACGAAGCCAGTCATGTGGAGACTTGGAAAAAGACACAGTATTAGAATCATGTTTCAGTTTAGATAGCAGATTTTTGAGAACAGCATGAGAGCGTTCAACAATACCCTGGCCTTGAGGGTTGTAAGGAATACCTGTACGATGAGCGATTTGAAATTGTGAACAAAATGACTGAAAACGTTTACTAGTATATGCAGGACCATTGTCAGTTTTTAAAATTTTAGGAGGACCAATAATAGAAAAGACCAAGAGGCAATGAGAAATAACATCCTTAACTGCTTCTCCGGTGTGGGCGGAAGCTACAAGAAAGTGTGAAAAGGTATTAATGCTAACATGAATAAACTTAAGCTTGCCAAAAGGAATAAAATGTGTAACATCCATCTGGTAAACATGAGCAGGTTGCGAACCGCGCGGGTTAACTCCAAGATGAATGGTCTGTGGGAGAAAAGAAACACAGGCAGGGCATTGTTTAACTATTTGTCTTGCCTGTTCCCTGGTAATGTGAAACTGCGGTCAGAGGCTCCTTGCGTTTTGGTGATGTATAGCATGGGAAGACTCGGCCTGCTATACAGGAGAAAGAGCAGGAAAAATATTTTGAGTTAGGGCGTCAGCAGCAAAATTTCTAGTAGCCAAGGGTCCAGGTAGGTTAGAGTGAGCTCTGATATGCCCTATAAAGAAAGAATGGAAACGGCGTCTAAGAACCTGTTGGAGAGGTAAGAGCAAGGAAATGATGGAAGAGGAGTCTGAGAAAGATAATGGAGCTGTTTCAAGGTTCTGAACTAAGTTAACAACATATTGGCTATCAGAATATAAATTTAAAGGGAAATCCCAATTTGAAAGCACATGTTGAACAGCAAGTAATTCTACTCTTTGCGCAGAGTGTTCCTCAGTCTGAAAAGAAAAGGATTGATCATTAACGACTCCAGCAGCGATGCCAGATGCTGATCCATCAGTAAAGGCTAAATAAGCGGAAGGCAAGGGGGTTTTTACACAAACTTGTGGAAAAATAAGAGAGCATTGAGAATAAAATTGGAGAAATTTATCAGTAGGATAATGACATAAAATTTTACCAGGATATCCAGCAAAGGCAATCTGCCAAGAATCAGAAAATGTCCAAAGCCATTGTTGCTGTGAATTATTACAAGGAATAACTATTTTTGATGGTTCACAACCAGTGTTAGGGCTCTGGATCGGCCTTTGGCGACCAGAGTGGCTACAAGGTTAAAGTAAGGGGTGATGACTTTGTTTTTACTAGCTGGCAGATGGAGCCACTCTAACACTCCCTGTTGCCAAAACACTCCAGTGGGAGTATACTGTGTGCGAAGTACACAATAACACCAAGAAGTTTTCACAGAAATTCTGGTAAGTTTTTGTTGTCTTAGAGACTCACTAACCAACTGTAGAGCCTGCTTAGCCAGTTCTGTCAGTTGCCTAGGAGACTTAGGGTCAGAGGCACCTTTAAGAATATCAAACAGAGGTTTCAATTGACCAGTAGTTAATTTTAAACTAGGGCATATCCAATTAATGTCTCCAAGAAACTTCTGAAAATCATGAAGAGTTTTTAAATGACTTGTAACCAATACAGGAGTTTTAAAGAAAACCTGATGAGAATCAGTAAGTCTGACTAGATAATGATCAGGAGTAACTGGCTGAACCTTGTCAGTAGCAACAAGATTAGCACTTAATAAACATGCCTGCAAAGAGTTATAGATTTCAAAAAGAAGCCTCTCTGTGGGTGTTGCTAAGAGTAAGTCATCCATGTAATGTAACAGTAAGGCCTCAGGAAACTGATGTCCAAGTGGGGAGAGTACCTTAGCAACACAGGATTGACACAAAGTAGGACTATCAGCCATACCCTGAGGTAAGACAACCCATTCAAATCTTTCGTAAGGTCTGTCATAATGGGTAGCTGGTATACTAAAGGCAAAACGTTTACAATCCTGAGGAGCTAATGGAATGGAAAAGAAACAATCTTTTAAATCAATAACTAACATATGCCATTCCTGTGGAACCACAACAGGGGAGGGCAGTCCAGGTTGAAGTGCCCCCATAACCACCATAGTGTCATTAACTTTTCTCAGGTCCTGTAACAATCTCCATTTGCCAGACTTTTTCTTGATAACAAAAATAGAATTTCAAGGACTATTAGTGGGTCTGATATGGCCCACTTTGAGCTGCTCTCGAACCAACTTGTGAGCTGCTAAACTTTTTTCAGAAGGGAAGGGCCACTGCTCTACCCATACGGGTGCATCAGATATCCAAGTGATGGGATCAGCATGAGTATCGGGAGTTATAGTGGCCCCCTCTAAAAACACTCAAGACCAGCAGGATCAGTTTTCACCTGTACAGGCAGGGGCTCAGAAGAGTCCTGCAGATTTTTACCAAGACCTTTAGCCAGATGGAATCCTTGTTTAAGCATAATGTCTAAAGCAGGGCTGTGTGTAACTAGGTGAGTCCCCATAGCTTCCAAAATGTCTCTGTCCCACAAATTAATGGGAATGCCTGGGAGGACATAGGGGTGAAAAGTACCAGAATGACCATCAGAGTCTGTCCAAGACAATAAAGTAGCAGACTGTTGGGGATTGGAACTCATGCCAATACCCTGTAAAGAGGTTATTGACACAGTAAGTGGCCAGGCAGAAGGCCAATGTATAGAGATGACTGAAACATCGGCACCAGTATCCAAAAGTCCTTTAAAAGTTTTACCATTAATGTTAAGAGTCATCTCAGGTCTGTTAGCTGAGATGGACTGAATCCAATAAGCATAAGAAGAGGAGCCAAAACCTTTAGATCCTCTAGTTTTCTTTGATAAAGGATGTCCAATTGATACATTAACAGGAACTAACAAGAGCTGAGCAAAAGGCTGAGCTGGGTCTATAGTGCAAACACCTAAAGGAGAGAAGGCAATAACTTTGATTTCTCCAGTATAGTCATTATCAATAACCCCAGATATGATCTGTAAACCTCGAAGGGAGGAGGAACTACATCCAAAAATTAAACCTGCGTACCCAAAGGGGAGAGGGCCATAAATGCCAGTCGGTATTGTAAATGAAATTTTATTCTTAACACCATGTGTTGTACATTGGCATTATGTCCTGGACCTTGCTGAGGTCATTTATTAGCTCTAATAATATTTTGAACGATTCTTAAAAGTTTTCTATATATATATCATCATGTCAGTTAGTATTTCTTTTATGGCAGGTTGATGCTGATGAACTCTTCAGTTTTCGCATATCTGGGAATGTCTTAATTTTTCTCTGACTTGTGAAGAATAGACAGGCCAAGATATAGAATCCTTGATTGATAGGTTTTTCTTTTACCATTTTTAATATGTCCTCTCACTACCTTCTGGCTTTCATGATTTTAATGAGAAATCAGCTCTTAAATTTATTAACTGCTTATGATAAGTGGCTTGTCTCTTGCTTTCAAAATCTTCTCTTTGCCTTTGTCACTAATATTTTGATTATAATGTACCTAGGTGTGGATCTCTTAGAGATTTTCCTACTTAGTATTCATTGAGCTTCTTTGATATAGAGATTAATTTTTAATCAAAATAAAAATGTTCTTGGTCATTTTATCTTCATATATTCTTTCTGCCCTTTCTCTTTCTTCTCTCTCCTTAGGTCCCCATTATGCATGTGTTTTTACCCTAGATTGTGTTCCACAGGTCTCTGAGGCTGTATTCACTTTTCTTCATTCTTTTCTTTATTGTTCCTCAGACTGTATAATCTCAAGTGATCTGTAATTAAGCTAGTTGATCCTTTCCTCTATTTCTATCTCCTGTGGACTCCTCTTTTGAATTTCTATTTCATTGGTTATACTTTACAACTTCATTACTTTCCAATTGTAAGACATTATTCTCAGACATTCCTTTAGTCCTTTGTCCAAAGTTTCCTTTGGTTATTTCAGTATACTTATAATAGCTGATGTCTTTGTTTACTAATCCATTGTCTGAGTTCCTAAAGGATCATTTCTGTTCATTGTTTCCCCTCCCTTCTGTGTATGGGCAATATTTTTTGTTTCTTTGCATGTCTCATAATTCTTTAATGAAATTGAACCTTTTACATAATATAAGGTGGCAAATTTGGAAACCAGATTCTCTCCCCAGAGTTTGTTCTTGCAGTCTTTGCTGTTGATTACTTCCTTCGTAACTTTCCTGGACTAATTTGGTATAAAGTCTGTATCATGTGTCATGTGTAGCCACTGAAGACTCTGTTTCATTAGCTTAGAGGTCAACTCATGATTGGACAGAAATGATCTTAAATACTAAACAAATAAGTCACCTGGATGTTTCCAAGGGACTGCATGTGTATTCACGTCATATTTTTATTGTTAAATATTCGTGGGTGAATAAGTGAATGATAAAATATTTATGGGTGAGTAAGTGAAAACTAAAATATGGGTGAATAATAAAATGATTGCTTGTCGGTATCATATAAATTTGAGTCAGATGCAGTGGTGTTACTAAACAATCACAGATTGTCCACACGGGTGGCTGAGATAGGGACACCTTTATTTCTGAGGGTTCAGTGTATCCAAACTTTATTTCATGCAGGAAACCGGTAAAAATATTGCATAAAGTTCCCTTCAGTCTATGTGTATAAGGTACATGTGAAACATAGGTAAATTTAATGTTTACATTTGCCTCTCACCCCTAAGATATCTCATTATTTATATGCCAAGATTACAAAATGTGAAAATTCCAAAATTTGAAAAATTTCTGGTTCCAAGAATTTTGAATAGTGAATACTCAAATGTATTCTCACTGCTTTTAAGAAGGAGCAGATTTTACTCCACCATTGCGAAAGTAGTAAGTAG